GGGAACAAACCGTTGGAAGTCCCATAATACCACCAAGATCCTCGAGAGCGCCTCATCGGAGTCTAGCGGGCGCTGCCTATCCCCACTGCCTGCATGTCTCTGCTCGCTGCGCTGCAGGCGCTTGAGCTGACCTTGAATTCAGGTAGTCAGGCGCCCAATAGGCGCGCGAGCAACTGAGCGACCGACAAGAATTGAGCACCCCTATATGAGTCCGCCTTGCGCTCAAGCTGCCAGCTGGGCACTTTCACCCTTCCGGCGCTCCCGGTAGTACGCGGTCGACTATTCTACGCGAGGGCCGACCGTGCATCACGTGTTAACCCCTTGAAAAGGTCAGACCCGGGTCAGACCCCGAGTCAGACCCCGGGGTCAAGCCGAGAGGGTCAAGGGGTCGAGTCTTGACCCGCACACCTCTGATTAGCCGCGACAGGAAGCTGAGCGGAGGAGAGTGGACAGATCATGCGTTCTGCATCATTACCGGTACTACAAATAGGGTGCCTGAGGCCCCGGGGAATAGAGGGAATGAGGGAGGGGCAGACGTGATTGTGGTTCATGACGGACTTCATGGCGGTCTGGTCGGGAAGTAGCTAGCTTGAGCGTAATGGAAAGGATCGGTACGGAGGCTTGGTTGCGGGTATCGTACGAATTTAGGCACGAAGGCGACCGATGGGAAGTTGCTTTTCAAGGGGAGTCTCCCGTCATTGGAGCTCGCTTAGCCCCGACCGAACGGTCGAAGTGAATGCTCGCCCTACGCCGGTGATGAGTCCACGCCTTATGCCCGCGGCGCATTCTAGTATCTGTATCGAGATGCGGACTGCTGTTCCTTGACGGTGATAATGAGAGCGCCTGTCGACCTTCCAGAAACTCTTCTCCACCATATGGTCTCCTCCTCGTTATAGATGCAATCCGGAGGTTCTCTTGCACAACGACGGATCGTTGTTATGTTATGGGCAACTTGGGCGATATTGATGGGCTTGCCTGCCCTGCGGGGGAGTAAAGTAAGAGCGGAGGGACAATTACAAGGAAGGCCAGGCCCAGCGCAGGCGTCGGACCGACGTGTCTGTAGAGAATCTGTCAGTCCCACATGCCGCTGATGGTCTCAAGACACTGTCCTTTCCCATCCCTACACTGCCCGCCGCTGAGATCGACGTCGTCCTTCGCGGGCGACAAGGGGTTCATGTCCGCATCGTTCACGACCTTCCACGTTTCGTGCAGGCCTCGTGAAAGACAGTGAGCGCTATCAGTGAAGAGCCCTCCATACGGCCCAAGAGAGCAAATTCGTCACAGAGAATCGTAGGTCGAACGTGCTGGAATCGAATGGGCACAGAAAATTACCGGACATCGCGGATCAGACACTACTCACCGCTACCTGTCGGTGCTCAAGCGCTCAACCCCAGTGGCGAAACGATTCCATACGGCATTGCTTCGCCGCCGCTAGATGCTCCTGTCTGTCAATAGCGAGCGCGGGCGGGATTAAAGTGGGTTGAATGGGAAACGCTCAGCGCCGCCACTGGGCTCAGCGATTCGATGGGACATCGTGCATCAGAGGCGGTTGTGCGGCCAAACATGTCCGCGTAGGAGGAGCCCATGGCATCCCAATGGGACCGAGTTTATACGACCGTCCCCTAGCCGCTCAACTCCGCCGGACTCTGATTGGTTGACGCGCCCTGCCGGACGCGCTGATTCGCGCTCCGCACGAAGAGAGGGTGGGCGGTAGTGACCTGGCGTGAGACAGGAGATCTGGCAAGAAACCCTGAGCAGCATCTGCCTCGATGGCGGGTCCGGGCATGCTCTGTTATATGTCTCTGATCCGTGCAGACTGCTAGACTTCCCCTCCTTTGCCCCTCTCTCCTTGCTCTAGCCGGCGACCACCATGGTTGGCCTCACACGCCCTCGGACGTTCCGCGATGTCGCGCTCATCTTCCTCGGCGCCGCTGGCATGCATTTCACGACTAGCTTCCTCGGGCCGTTCACCGAGCAAACGAGCTCGATTGTAGTCCAGACGCAGGTGAGTATCCGTCTTGTCCCCTGAACTCCTGCGTGTCTTGCATCTTGCGCGTGCCAAACCGGGCGTTCTCCGTCAGTCTAGCCAGCGGAGGAAGGGAAGTATAGGACTGTAGCGCCGTAATTTATGCAACGAGGCGCTGGAACTCTAGGGGCATAGTGGACATGGGCCAACTTGGGATGAGGTGGACGCTGAGGACTCCGAGAGTGCTGCTTCGGCGAAGAGCTCGAGGGGCCTGCTCGCGGACGAGTTGAATGTTATGACGGAATGCAGCGCTTCCTAGGCAGGCACCGTATATCTTCTTCCCTTCCTCGCTGCTCGCTGGACATGTGCTTTCTGTCTTCGTCAGCTGTCAATGCAACGGAGTCTGTCAGCATTTCATCGTGCACCCTGTAGTCCTTGGTCGCTCTTGTACCATTCCCAGGCCGCCCTATTATCCCTCATACATAATCCGCATTCTCCGCCGCCCGCTTGTACGGAATGCTGAAACAACATCTCTCAGGTCGACTCCGACTTCCCCTCAAACGTGAACGCTGTTCATGGCAACCCGATATCCCCACACGATCATGATCCATTCCGACGTCCTGTGGACAACGCCCCCGTGCAGCCAGACGCAGCACCCGTGCCCGCGCCACATCAACGGCAGGAGCCCCCGGAGGAGCCTATCAAACCAGTGGTGGATGTCCCTGCCGTCGCCGATATAGCCTACAAGATTCCTGAGACTACGTTGCTGTCACATGCACCAGGATGGACGGTCTTCCGCAACCTGTACATGTCCAATGGGACAGTATACATAGTCACATCAAGACCAAAATCCTTCCCCGACATCCTCTATATGACATCCACCGGTTTGAAAGCCGATTCCACCCCGGAGAATATCCAAGCACGTTTGCCCACTTCACAGGATATGAGTTTCCTTACGCCAGAGGAAGCGCGCGACCTCTGGGGCGGCGACCTCGACAAGGTACGTGCCAATACTCACCCTGCCCTTGATGCGCAAGGCATCTGACGCGCTCTGTAGATGGAGAAGAACCGGATATGGTCTGTATCAGGCAACACCGCGATCATCAACGAGCCTTCCCAGTTCCTCGATCACTACTACCACTTTGTCGCCGAATGGCTCTTCGGCGCTTGGGCGTTCTGGCAGGGCACGTTCAACGCCGTCGTCAAACCCGAGTCCGCCGCGGTCTCGGACGTGCCCCCGCTCCACCGGCTCATCTTCGCCAACGCGGACGCGAACGGCTGGCGCGACCGCCCCGGATTCAACTCGTACGTCCTCCGGTCCGCGTTCCCCGCGCTCGACGTCGAGGTCGAGGACGACTGGGACGATCGGATCCTCGCGACGTCGAACCCGGACCACCCGCGGCGCGCGTGGCACTTCGACACGGTGCTGTTCACGGACCGCTCCGCGGCGTTCAAGGGCGCGCTGTGCGGCTCGCAGAACCAGCGCATCGCGTCGGAGGCGACGGAGCACATGCGCAAGGCGGGCAACCTCACGAAGCTCTGGTGGGAGCCCGTGCGGCGCGGGGTGCTGCGCTTCGCGGGGATCGACGAGCGCACGCTGGACTTGGGCGTGAAGGCGGACGCGGTGGTCGCGGGCCGGAACAAGCTCAAGCCGCTCGCGGGGATCGACCGGCAGCAACAGCAGCAGCAGCAGCAGCAGCAGCAGGGGAGCAGCACGAAGGTGGCGTCAGGGCTGTCGGACAAGGACATCGTGATCACGTACATCAGCAGGCAGTCGTCGCGCGCGAGCCGGCATCTGCTCGAGGAGGACCACGCGGCGCTCGTGGCGGCGCTGGAGGAGATGGTCAAGAAGCACGGGTGGGAGCTGAACGTCGTCGAGGCGGAGAAGCTGAGCAAGGAGCAGCAGCTGGCGATCGCTGCGCGGACGACGGTGCGTGTTGGGTTCCCCTACCTCCTTATATCCGCTTGTCTGGCCTGGCGTCTGACTGGAGCCACTCTTCTGCGCAGATCATGCTTGGGGTGCATGGCAATGGTCTCACGGTGAGTATCCTGTATCCTGTAGTAGTAGATGCGGATGCTGAGGCCGTCGATGCCGACGCGTTGTACTCGCAGCATCTGCTCATGATGCCAGTGACGCCCGTCTCGTCGGTCATCGAGATCTTCATCCCCGGCGGCTTCGCGCACGACTACCACTGGACGTCGCAGGCGTTGGGCATGCGGCACTTTGCGATATGGAACGACACGTGCGTATCCCTTCTCTTCGCCGCCGCTACTCGGTAGCGTGCGTACTTCGCAGCGGTGACGTCTGACACTCGACCCAACTCAATCAGCGCCCGAACATACCCTAATGAGCCACCGGTCGACTACCCCGAAGGCTTCCAGGGCACCCAGATCCCAGTATACCCTCCGGCCGTCGTCCAGGTCATCGAGGACCGGATAGCGGGTCTTCACCCCTTCGACGGGCCTCCTGATCACTACGACCACTAGTGGCCGGGCTGCTTCTGTTCCTTCTGAGCGAAAACCGACCGCCTCTCATGCCGCGTCCACCACTAGCTGTCTCCATGCTTCGCTTGTTGTATCACACAATGCTCATCTGTGCTATCTAGCGTCCAGGGGCAGGGGTCAGCATAGCGTATTTAGCAGTACCCTCCCCTGGGCGACTCGTATATATCTCCACTTGGTTAATCGGTACATAACATAAATTATACCTGTCCTTTCTCGGTCGTCATGCTACCGTTGCTGCTGCTCACTGGGATGGTTGTTGACTAGGGACGCCGCGTTTGGGCATCCGGCTTTGGACCTTGCTGTATATTGATTTTTCCACGGGTCTCGGGCTTTGTAGCGAAGCTGGGTTCCACAATCTAAATAGATCTATTTGGAGATAAGTACGCCAGGATGACCGTGTGTGATTTCGAATGTATCATGCTTGTCCACCACGGAGTACGCTGTCCCACTTCCCGGGCAACGTCATTACTCAGAGTAATCGCACAGACCCTGGTACGGCCAGTGCTGCGAGCTTCGGCCGCAAACTATGTGCAAGGTTCGGATAGTATGACGTCACCAATGGAACGTCGACGCGCTCTTCTTCCAGCACGAGTCCCGCCATTACCTGACACTCCACAGTCCTCAGCGCGTTATATATAATCACGAGCCTCTGGAGATGAACGGCCGCATAGTTACTGCGTCTGCTGCTTGCGTTCGACAATCCATACGACGATACCCACACACATCAGAACGAACACTCTTGAACACACCCTAACCGAACACAGACTTTCCGCACCTCTTCATAAAGATACCCAGCTTCCAGACTCCAGGGATCCACGTTCAGACATGGTACGTGATCGGCTCTTCTGAACGTACGCGTCATATTCGAGCGATCGTCGACGAAACTGGAACGCTTACCAGTCGTCTCTTCGACGGGTCGCAGGGCAATATCATATCCTTGATCGCAAATGCGTTCATGACACTGGTCAACGGTGTGGCTACGGTGCTGCAGACCATTATTGGGGGGATCGCATCGGTGAGTATCTTGCTTTACGTTGTCCCTCGTGCGATTCTCCTCTCCATCCCGTCTACCGCGCGCACGCTCCTAGCCATGCCATGCCCGACCTCGCATGCGATCGTGATCGCGATCGATTCTCTCGGGAAGGGCACGTTCGGCTGCGCCAGCGTCGTCTCGAGACCCATATCTTTCAAATCCTTAGCCTGTCAAGGCGCGCTGACCCGCTCGGCACCGACCAGGTCCTCATGGCGATCGTCAACGTCTTCACCTGCGGCGCCTTCGCCCGGCGCGGGAACGCGCTCGCAGGCGCGACAGCGGGCACGTCCGTCGCCCCGCCCGCCGCGGGCTTGCTCGGCGGGAGCAATGCGGGGAGCGCGGTCGGGGAGGAGGTCGCGGAGCAGGAGGAGGCGAACGAGGAGGGCGCGGCTGGTGCCGGGGCGTCGGGGATGATGGGTCAGATGGGAGACCCTCGGATGGCGGGCCAGATGGCGTATAACCCTCAGATGGCGAACCAAATGGCGTATAACCCTCGGATGGCGAGCGGCCAGAATCAGATGGCGGCGAACCAGATGGCGGCGAATCCTCAGATGGCAGCGAATCCTCAGATGGGGATGGCGTATGGAGGGTACCCCGCGACGGCAGGAGGACCATACGGCGCGGGCGCGGGCGCGGGCGCAGGAGCAGGAGCAGGAGCAGGAGCAGGCCTAGGCGCAGCAGGTGGAATGAGAGTTCCAGGAGCAGGCGGGGTAGGAGGAGGGATGGGCATGGGTGCTCCCGGAGCAGGCTTTGGACCACAAGCCGGGGCGGGAGGATACGGCGCCCCAGTAGGAGGAATGGGAGCAGGCTCAGGAGGAATGACAGCCCAAGGTGCGGGACTAGGAGCACGAGGAGCAGCCGTCTACGGTGCTGGTGGACCAGGACCGACGCCGTTCAGGCCGATGGTGGGCGGCGCAGCTCCTGGATACGGGGCTGGAGGCACCGCTGCGGGGGCGGCGTACTGATAGAACAGGGGGTGGGGACCTGCTGTGCAGTAAGGATGTGTAAGAACGATGAAGGGCACGGACCTCATACTGTATTCAATGTATTATGCGCATACATGGCCGTGTTTCGGACCTTCGAATCCGATGTAGTGTTCTCTGATACCTCGTATGAGAAGCGAAGGGCTGGTCTCCCAAAAGGGTTTGTTTTAAATGAAAGTTGTGATACCGCAAGCATTGTCCCAAGACCGCCGACCCGCAGGAACGAAACCTAGTAAGTCGATGATATAGAAGAGGCCGATCTCCCGGTCGGCGCTTGGTTCGGACGGCACACTGTAAGGCTTTCTGACAAGTACTTACTACGCGCCCAGGGGCAACTGGCACCGGAAGTCTTCACATAGAAGTGTCCAACCCTTGCTTGCGTCGATGGAAGCTTCGTATAGCGGCGATTATGGAGGTATAATTGTACATTTATTGTACTCTCAGATCTTGCTGTGTGTTTCTACTGTTGTCTGTGGATTTCACCTTAGCGAGTATATTTGTCCAGGAAGTAGGCTAGAACTTTACCTTGTTGTAGGACCTGGGACCCAGTGAAAACGTGCCCGATTCAGGTCGAATTCGGTCGAATTCGATTGTATGTAGTTGTGCAACCCGACATTTTACGACCATCCGGACTATATACGACGGCTGTAGTATTCGGCTGTGTAACGTCGTATGAGGACCCAACACGAATACGAATCCCGCTGATTTGGGTCGACTGTGGCCGTGAGCAATCGGTTACGGTCGGGCAATTTTGGGTTTTGCTGATCTGTATTGGGAGACACCATTGGATGATTTGGGTGATATCACTGTATTCTGTCGTATAATATTGTATTACTACATGGTACTGTACAGCTACTAACGGGCGCAATTGGGTTCTGTGCAGACGCTGCTTTGCTGGCGCACATGTATGATAATGTTGAGCCGAACCCGTGAGTTATTAGACAGAGCCAAGGAAAGAGTTGCGATGTTGGAGGTGAATATATCCAACTTTGAGCAAGGAGAATCAACGGCTAGATGAGGGTGAGTCAGCTTGCACATATGTAGTCATGAGGCACGGAACCGGTCATCACCTCAAAGGGGGCGCCAGACAGAACTCGAGAGGATGAGTTGGCAAAGGAGTGAAAACTACATTACTTTGTCTAAGACCGCAGGCGGACTTTGGTTCCGTAAGGTGTCTTTGATCCTGATGTTGTCAGTAAGAGGGCTCAGAGACGGTGTTGATGGACATACCAGATACATGGTCCATAACTCCTCCCCGCTGTGTTCTGTTCGTTGGGTAGTAATGGGTACATGCGGATATCAGAAACAAAGGCATACCTTTCGATCTGCGGGGTTCAGGCACCTGGAGCGCTACTCACTTATAACCTGCATGTCAATGGTCTTCTGCGCCCAAAGGGGGCCAGACAGCCAAAGAGAGAGCAGGAGGAAAAGGGGGGTAGAGGACAAGATGGAGGGCAAGAGCAAACCCTCCAGACAAGTACGCCCATCCGACTGACGTCGACATACGTCATGTTGAGGGCAGGCTTCCCACAGGGAGAACACAAGGCCGGACACCCCGAAGCCAGATCAACTGAAGGTCTTGGAGATATGTAGACGCTTACACAGGTGTGAAGGCCACTTAGAGCAATGTTAGGGACACTAAGCTAATGCTAAGGACAGTGTTGGGGTCACCTTAGGAGTTCCATGATAGTCTTAGAGACATGTAAGGACACACAGACGTCACCAGCTCATAGAGACATGCACGTCCGATCCGGCGACCATAGAGCCTGTTAAAGACGTCAGATGGGCGCCTAAAATCGCTCGCCCAATCTACATCGACACGGCACAAGCGCATACGGCCGGACGCGACTTGACCCGTTCTATATCGACTGAAATCACGCACGTTTTCACTGGGCCTGGGAGTTGACACTGCCCATGGAAGCACAACTACAGTTCGACTCCGGTGTCGCTTGGATCGGATTGGATTGATCCGCATACATAGCAGCTGATCTAAGCGACTCAGCGCCTGGGGAATCCTACTCACCATGGACCTTTGTTGGGTTTTGTGTCTCCCAGCATGCATTATGATGCATTCTTTGTGTTATTAATATACTTTACTTACCATGAGTGCATATAGCTCGGGCAATGTCATCGACAGGAGAGGTTGACTGACTTCAAGACTAATGACAAGCGCTGGTCGAGAGTAGCCGAGCATATCGGTTCATTTGCCGCCATCAAACCTCAGTGCAATCGAGTACAACACCTACATTCGTTTGCATATCAAACTGCAGTGTCGTGCGCGCGTCGAGCCTGTTTGTTCGTGTTTGCTCCGCCGTCGGGTACCGGCTAGGACTGCCACTTCGGTGGGTGCACCCTCAATGAAAACAGACAAAATCCCTAAAAAATGTCGTAGCGGGTTGATAGTACATACAGTATGGCTCCTAGCAATGCCTTGTTGGCTTTCAGTGCAGGAGAAGCTTTTTGTACTTGATGGCCACAATGGGTTGACGGAGGCCGGTCCCAAACAGGCAGAGAGGCGCTCGCTCACGGCGTTGCAAACACGGGCAAACAGCCCCGCGGCGCGCGCGTCGACTGCAATTTGATATGCAAACGACTGTAGATCTTACGTCGTGCTTCTGCTCATGCTTACCAAGAAACCAGCAATCGAGTTTCAAGTAAGGACTAGGACCTCAA